GAAATGATGTGTGATTGTACTCATTCACTCTCACTGTTTCTATCTGTTTTCTCTTTCATTTACAATAAGAAGTAGCATTCGTTACGAAAGGCCTGTAATAATCCAGCATTATCATTTATATCTGGGATAAAAAGTACATAAAGACTCCGTTACAAAAGCCGTGTAAAAGCGTCTTACGAAAGCCCTGTTAGAGTATCTAGCAGAGATTAATCCCTTGTATTATCGTTACGAAAGCCCTGTTAGTGATCTTAGTGACTGACTATCTCATATAGAGGATATGACCCAGCTAATAGTGTTACGAAGGCCCTGTGAAAACAGGTCCGAAAGCCCTGTAAGAGAAGAGGGGATTGGATGAAACGCCACCTTGTTTGCTCATAATTTGGGTATTTAATGATTTTGTTAATATACAGAGAAACGAAATTAATTGAGCTTTCAGCTCTTAATTCTAACACTTTACTTTTTGAAGATGGGTGTCGCTTCAAGAAAAAATGGAAGGTTATAAAATAGATCAAACATTCATTTTTAAACAGCGCTTTTTGCTTACTCAAGTTGATGACTAAATATATATAACGGGAGAAAAATTGAGCTGAGGAAGCTATCTCTGAAACAACGATACTCCCTCTTTATGTGCGGTAAAGTGAGAAGTAGGAAAGGATTTTGCTTCATTCGTAGAAAAGTAGACGGGTTTTATAAGTACCAAAAATCCCTTCGGTTTAGTAAACATTTTATTTAGCTCTTAGCCAAGATGGTTTAGCGATTGAATTGAAAACCTTTGGGATTTAGCAGCAATAATGAAAAGCTCTTTTGGTTCTTTAGTATTCAAAAGTCAAGAACTAAATAATGTTTAATAAACCCAAGGGATTTTTGGTACTTATAAAATCCGTCTACTTTTCCCACCAAACCCTTTTGGTTTTTAAAACACTAAAAGGGTTTATATGTAGACCCTTTGGATTTAGTAACGAAAATAGAATACCTTCAGTTTTGTGACACTGCTAAAAAACCCTTTATTTTCTTGAAATACTTTTCCAAAAAGTGTTTTAAAAAACCAAAACGGTAGTAACAATACAAAACCCTCAAATGGTTTCTTAAATGTGCTACTATAGCCTTTTGGGTTTAGAAACAACAATAGAAAATCGTTCTTAGATGTACTGTGATCATAAATTCTTTAAACCTAAGTGGTACCGTTGAATGGCCCAGGGGAGTTTGCAAACTTATTGAGTTTCTTGTCTTAAAAGATTAAGCTACCTTTTATCTTCGTTCTAACCGCCATAACGTCAGGGAAAAGGTACCTATCGCTTTTGATAAACTAGCTTTGTAGAAGACTATGGAAAGCCTTTTTAACCGATAAACATTGGAGAACTATGCATATCAATCTAGAGTATTACCATGCACGTATATATGTATGCTTTTAAGCAATACTTCAACTAAAAGTTTCTGACTCCTCAAAACAAAACCAAGAATAGTTATAAAAATAGCTTGACATGTGTAACTTGATATGCTCTATGGAATCGGTGATGTGAAAATCCCAAACTCGATTGAAAAACTTCATGGTTTAGTTTTGTATAGTTCCGTCCTTTGAAGCTTCCTTGATTTTCTGCAACGTCACTCGAGTGACTAATGAGGGGGAGAGAGAGAGAGAAAGAATTATTAACGTTACGTCTTAACTTAATTTATATATGTGCAAGATTGCACTTTGATGACTAAAAAGTCCATTCGTAAATGTCAAATAAATGAGTTAGAGGATGATTCATAAAAGTAATAAAACAAATGTCTGAATTTAAAAGACTCATCAAACCAAATACGGTAATAGTATGTTTCTTCTGTGTTGAAATTTTTGTTTAAATATAATATACTCACGTTAATCATCATCAGCTACAACAGGTTAAAGCTAAACTTGTATATATAAATATATATATATATATATTAGCGTCTGAAAGTCGGATTCCGTCCAATATAGGATTGGTCTAGGCCAAATTCGAATTCGAGATTAAACGCGTCCAATCTTAGATTTTGATAGTACCACATAAACAGCTGCAAATTCTAACCAAGATTTAGCAGAAATATGCCTTAAAGTCCGCTGATGCGTGCTAATTTGAAAGCAGTGCTTGGTGACTCACCAATCAGCATGTTCACTCTACTGTATGTGCAAGATCGAAATTATGCACAGACTCAGTTCGGGAAGACGACCACAACGACCACTTGTCAGCTGAGTCACTGAGCACTGCTTTCAAATCAGCACGAACCAGCGGACATCGTGCACACACTTCAAGGAAAATATCTTCTGAACCTCACTTAAAATTCGCAATTTTGTGTGTGCTGCTATCAAAATCGAAGATGAGACGCGTTTAAACTCGAATTCGAATTTCGCCTTGACCAATCCTAGATTGGACGGAATCCGAGGAAAAGAGACGAATCGAGAAGAACAAAAGTTCGGTAAATATCGCAAGAGGAAGAAAAAAGAATGCCCGTAGTGTTGCTTCCCGTTGTCATAACTAAGAATTGAATCAATAACCCAAAGTACATAACCAGAAAAACAGAAAATGAATTGAATACCGCTCATTAAGCACCATGAGTTTGTGGCTAACGTTATTGTATGCTGTACATCTGTTACAATTGATTTTAAAGATCACTCCTGCATTCGACACATCAGAAACGAAGCTTTCGCTTTGCCGTCCTGTTACATACTTTAGAATTATAAAATAGGAAAAAAATTACCTATAATTTACAAAATAGTAGTGAATAGCTTTTAAATTGCGTTTGGTTAGACGACGGACTTCGTATGATAATTCCAAACTAAGTAAATTTATTAAAGAATTTAATTCTTCATAAAACAGACTAATTACATTGGAGGCACATCGCTGATCCGTTTGGTGAAAAAGCAGAATGTTGTAATGTTCAAAGAAAAAAAACCAAATAAAGCTTATAACAATGTTCACAGACACTGTTACAACGCCTGATAGAAAAGTCACATACTCTGCTGGAATTGAATGAAAATTTTAGTAACAAATAAGCATGTTATATGAGACAGTTCCTATGCCTATAAAAATCTGAATCTCTGATTTTTTAAATTAAATTTGAAAGTTTAGAAGATTGATTATTTTTTAACTTTTAAATATTTCTGCTCAGAAAGATGATCGAATTTTTTAAAGAAACATTGGATAATACTTGAAAAAATAAAACTAATGTGGGAGTTTAACGAAGTTCCACTATAAGTAGAAGAGTTTTTCCAAAAATCTGCTGTGTTACTGGACGACTGAAAATAACAAACCAGAAGGTTAAAAAATAGATTGAAAAAGATTTTCAATCAATTTTCTATGCCTATGACTATTTGCTAATACTTTTCTAGCATGTTTTGCGGTTGAAACTGAGTTGCATTAAATCAATATTTTTTACTGTATCAGGCCATGTGAGTACTAGGAGATCGTTTCTGACGATTCTTTATACACATGAATGAGCAGAAAAATAATTTCTTCGCTATTAATAGTTACCAGGTATTAGTCATAGACATGAAAAAATTGATTGAAAATATTTGTTAATTTCTTTTCTAACCTTCTAGTCTGATATTTTCAATCGTTCAGTGAAATAAACGATCTTACCTGATTCATTTCAGGTTAAAAAAAGTTCGTTATCTGTTTAAAAAAATGTCTTTTTGGATCAGATTTTCCAGCAAGTTTTTGAAAATCTTCTCAAAAACTCTGCTTCTACTTATGGTGGAACCTCGTCAAACACCACCACCTTTGTTTTATTTTTCTCAGCTCTATCCAATGTTTTTTAAAAAAAATTCGATCATCTTTCTTAGCAGAAATATTTAAAAGTTAAAAAACAATCAATCTTCTAAACTTTCAAATTTAATTTAAAATCAGAGATCCATGATGTTTCTTGAAAAGCTGGTTTTCAAAATGACATATAAGTGTCTTAAAAGCGATTATTTAATTGAAAAAATTCCATGTCGTCAAACTTAATCAGGAAAAACTTTTCTCTTTGATATGAAATCGTCAAAAAACCAAGGTTATCTAGAAACCCTATTTAGGATAGAAGCAGAATTTTTTTGACGATATCATTACAAAGAGCACTATCGCAAACCTTTACAGTCGAACATTTACGAGGGAACCTCCCGAGGTGATAAATGGCTAGTGGGTTATAGGTTATCGACCATGCTGATTCCGAATTTCACTATGGGGATTCCACATAGCCCCTCGAAGAAGGAAAACCAGTTTTCCAGAAACCCCAAAAAATAACCCAAACCTTTCTTAACAATGCGGGATTGTAGCGCGCAAATTGCTGATTAGAATGAAACATCCCTCAGCTCTAGACGACCTTTCTTTAAAGTTATAGAATTTGTAAGAAAAGCTCTAAATTGTTCATTGTCAGTTCAGCTACAGAAATAATTAATCTAGTATTCTTCTTATAAATTCTATAACTTTGCAAATAAAGGTCGTGTAGAGCTGTATTTTCGCGTATTTTTCAAATTTCTCCTCGACAATGCAATATTTCAGTTTCATTCTTTTACCAAATATCAAACCTCATGAGGTCTAAAAATGATCAAAGTTTGATCTTGATTGGAGTATTATTTATTGAGAAAATAAAATCGAAAATCTCACTGGACATTTTGTGGGTGAAGCCTCGATTTCCAACAATATAATAGTATATTGTGTACAAAGAAAGTACTTTTTAAATGATATTTTCTTAGCAATTTGTGACGCACTCGAACCTGTATCGATTCTACTTATTAACAATCATTTCCAGTTCTTTTTTAGCTCGACATTACGCTTTGAAATCTCACTGAAAATAAATTCCAAAGTGAGTAACATAGCAAAGATTAACTTTATTCTAAGTGGAATTTTTCCTCTGTCTGGAATCAGGTGATGTGAGATTGTACAGAAAGGTGTGGTCTACAAATGGAAAAGCGATATTATCCTTGAAAGATTAAATATATTGGAAAAAATCCGTTTTCTCTCAGTAGACTGCGCCAAAGAACAACCAACGCCTAAATGGAAGAGTTATATCTCGGATGGTAATGAGTTTCGAAGAACATGTGTTTCAAGGATGGCATCGTGATTACGAAAGGTTAATTTCTCGTTTAAGTAAATTTCAAGTGGAATAGGTGCTTTTGTAACTGGGTTTGTGATTGTTGTTGTGAAATCAGTTTGGGTTGTTGTATCCGAGAGTGATTTCGATGTTTGAGGGCAGCTATCTGGAGCGCTGATGATAGACATTTGATAATATGGTATTGGTTCATGCAGATGTTGAACACGATATAACCAGTGGAATATACGAAAATCAGATGATAAAGTTGCATCAGTTTGGCAGCTTGTTTCCATTGATAAATCTGCATTTGCATCATTTGTGGATAATAATTGTACGATTGACGGTTGAACAGTAGTATAAAATGATGGATTCATATTGTATACATTTGCATAGGAATGATCAGTTGGATGTGGGAATAATTGTCTTTAATATATTGATAATGGACGAGGTGGTAATTGTTGATGATTGGTGTTATCCTGTGATTGAGATAATGTTTGATAAATGGGTGCAAATAAGGTGGAGATTGATGCTGGTGATGTGAGAAGTTGCGACATTGTACTTGATAAGGACGTAGCAGTACATGCTAGTGATGAAGGCAAGACCACAGGTAGTTGTTGTTGCGATATTAAAGATGTTGAATCGGATGTGAATGTAGTGACTGGGAAGAGAAGCAGTAAAAACAGTGGCCGTATGCGTGACGGTTGGTTCCGACGCTAACGATGTATTATTAATAATTGTTGTTGATATTATTGTGGCAGTATCAGACGACGGTTGTTGCTGGAGGAGTAACGTAGCATTCAAATCTATAACTGGATTTGTTGAAGTTGTAAAATCGAGAAATGCAGAAACCATAATTGCACCAGATAATAGTGTTTTCTGTATTGTTGCATTTTGCATCAATTCAATTGATTTTTTTATAATGGACGATAAATTATCGAATTCAAGTTCAATACCCGTGAATTTTTCTAATGGATCACGATTTTTAATATATTTATCGAGCCAAGCATTAAAGGTCGTAGCTTTAAATGGGTGTTGCTTTGATTGAAGATTAATAATATAATTTATGAGTAAGCGAAGATCTTCACCAATATTACTAGCCATGTTGTTAAGTTGTTTGCTAAAATGTGAGATGGGTCTAACAAAAGGAGCGAATCCGAGATATAATAATATTTACGAACGCGAAAAATATAGCATTGATATTAAAACCGAAGCGAATTAAGAAGAGACAAAATATTGATAACAACGAATTAACGATAAGATGAATTGGTGTTGGCGAATTTTGGATGAATTTTTCGAATGATTCTTTTAGCGGAATAAACAGTTCTTAAATATAAATTGGCGTTGATGTTAATAAGACGAAGATATTAATTCTAGTACTGAGACACAATGTTGATAAATCATATGAATTTTATTGTAAAAACTTATTAATGTAAAAAATAAAAAGTAAAAAGTAAAGTAAAAATAAATAATAAAAGAAAAAAAGAATAAAAATAGTAAAAATAGCAATAAGAGGTGATAATAATAATGACAGCTGTTTCGGTCTTAGGCTTTTTCTGTTAAGTGTAAGCGTAAGTATGGCGTATATATATATATATATATGTTCATGAGAATAAAGGAAGGGAGATTAAAAATAGAATTGGTCCACCCATGTCAAATTCTTTTCACGATTTCTGGCACTTTTTTGGCCGTACTAACCTCGGAACCACTTTTTTCCCTTAAAGTACTCGATATATCGATACTCATTAATATACTTATTTTTAGCGTTTACCTCAGCTGCAAACTTTTTAAAAGAGAACTGGGCTATAGGGAAAAAAATTTCCGCGAAATGTAATATAATATTTAACGACAATTTTGAAAAATAATCCAATCTATCTCTGACTTAAATTAAAATTAAAAATATCATAAAAGAACCAGAATAAATTATTTAGATTATATCGTTCAGTTGAACTTTTCTGTCCAAGCAATGACAACAATTTTTACAATCCAATTTATCGCATAGATGTTCATCGTAGAATTTGATTGATCTCAATGGTCGTGGAAGCCAACTCCAATTGCGAAGTTTGGGCGGTAAACGTTGTGGAATTTTAGACATAAGAATATTCATTATAATAACAAATATAACGACAAGTGCAATTGGTATCATAACAGCACCGAATACATACCTTTCAAGAAAAAACAAAAAAATTGGTTACGATATACTAAGTGAAGTCTTATCTTTATTTTCTTTCTTACCAACCGGCCATTGATAAACCAAATACAATCAATGGTATCACAAAAAATGTTAATATCTGTTAATAAATGAGTAAAACGATACGTTTTAGCGTATGTAATTTCATAAAAAAGAGTTGTCTCGACTAAGATGTGAAATACGTTATTCGCCGACGTATTGTTAGAAGTGATCGCGTTGAACATGAGTTAAAAGCCGACACCAAAATTAAAGACTCTACTAGACTAAAGTACCGACAGTCGCTTTTCGAAAATTTTTGAACTGATCATATGCGACCAATTCTAATGTCAAGTTTTCTTGCTTCTTGTATAAAATTTAGATCGATGCTGATCAATTTTTTCCAAAAATTGCAGTTGTAATGCAGATAACAGAGACGAATGGTCATAACTTTTGACTGCTGGTTTTTCAAAATTTTTTTATCGAATTCGAAGAAAAATTTTGAAATGTAAGTAGATGATGGTATAATACTCTGATACTCTGACCGGAGTGAGATTTCGCATGACACAAGTGTTCTCTATCTACTTTTGTTTGTATGGTGTTCGTGAGCGAAAAAATTGTCTCGTATATTCACAATTATATCCCCCCTTGAACATTTAATTTAATCTATAGTGGTACAGAATGTCAAGTGCTCATATTAATTAGTCGCAGGTCATAAAACTTTGAATGTTTTGGATCAGTGCTGTAATTTTCATGATACTGCACACTAAAAAATAATGTGTCGCATGTGGTGCAAATTGCGGCATAATATGCGACATATTCATCTGCGACACCGAGAGGCGCATTTTTTCCATTGAGACTGCGACACATTCCGCTGAGTATTTCTACCACAGAGAAAACCGTAGAAAGTCTTAAGTATTTTTTATCTCTTATTCGATTTTAAGAATATTTATAGTTCGCTTTGGATGCACTATATAATGTCGACGAGCTCAATCCGCCCGTAATATTCACAGACCTTCAGAATATTTAGTTTCCGAGATCTGGAATTAATAGTGTAGTCAAGGCTTCGGATTGGTTCTTTTCGTTAGAGAAAAAATGTTTAACATATGAAAAAGGTTAAAAAGACTTAGATAGGGATCTTTATCCACGAATAACATCAATTCAAAATTGAAAGAACTTAAAAAACCCAAAAACTTTCTTATCTTTTACGTATTAGCGCCAGCGATAGCACATCAGAATTGAAGAGAAGTCAAGAAAAATCCTACTGAAGACTACTGAAAGTAGTTTAACATAAAATTTTGCAATTTTTTTGAACAGAGCAGATACTAAAATGCCCCTGCGAACTGTGTATAAAAATTCTTAGTAACGGCCACACAGTCATGCGACACATTCTTTTGCGACACAATTTTCTCCCAGGAGCTGCGACACAATAGTTTTTACTGTCTACCTCTGCTATACATGATACAAACTGCAGCTTTCCACAATCGAAAATTGTTGAAAAAAATTGGACAACATCTGTCTCACATTTATTCGATAGAATTACAAAATTTTGATATTACCAGTGAAAACGATCGATGTTTGACTCAAAGGTGTGATAGATAAATTATCAATACGTCAACTACTGAGCATTTAAAACTCAAATTATTTATTTTCTCCTATTTGTTGTTATACTTATCTGTCACAAGCGAATGGCTTTAGTCAAAAAAATTTGTATCTTCAAGTACGTTTTAGTATTCAGCCTTCTAAGTTTTGACAGCAATGAAAACGTTTTACTAAAGGAAATGTAATATTTACGATGTATACAACAGCAAACCATCGATATTTCGCTGTAATATTTCCAAGTTTTTTGGCTAGTGTTATTAATATATTCCTCATAAATGGAACTGGATACCATATTCATATACCTAGAAAATGTCTTGGTCAATGATGATAAAAGTAAATTTTTTAATGTATAACTCTTTTACCGGTGATATTAAATGCTGTATGACAGAGAGCTATTTGTAATGGATTTCGTAACTCCAACACTGACTTTGCTGTTAATGCGGCCATGATACCTGTAATTGTTGTTCCAATATTTGATCCAAGTGTAAATGGATAAACACGTTCAATTGTGGTAACTCCAATGCCAACAAGTGGCGTCAGTGTTGAAGTAAATATCGAACTACTTTGTACTAATATTGTAATAATACATCCAATCTAAACATAGATGTATAGTCAAAGTCAATATTCTCTTGGATCTTTAGTAGTAAGAAATAAAATAGTTACCGCTATGGCAAAATATCCGGTTAAATATCGACATATTCCTGGAAAAAATCTGCATTTACAGTTTTACGCAGTATATTACTAATAGCACCTTTTAACATGGATTGTAATAATTTAACTAATATAATTAAACATGCACATAACGATACTATTGTCACGATAACTAAAAGTAATCCTATACCCCAATCAGGCCATTTTAATTTAGCTAGAAGAAAACTACCTGAAAGTCAAAGAATATCGAAACAGTCACTCGTTCCAGTGATTAAGAAGAATTTCTTACACTGTTTTAACGGAATATTTAATGTTGTCGCTCCATTTACAGTTGTATCACAATAGCGTTTTAACAACGACGTAACTGGTTTACCAAGTGCGATATCTTCTATGGCCTCGTTGTCTAGCTTAACACAATGATACAACGTTTTAGTCAACAACTACGACAAGAAATAGTAACAGTAGCCGTGGCCACTGCTTTTAGGTTTACTTGAACAATTTTATCTGTCGCTGGTTTTGTGATAACATTTAAGAATTGTTGATTTGTACTGCTGTTAGTCCGAAATTTAATTGATTTTGTTATACTACCAGTAATTCGAAATATAAGTTCTGTTTTGGAAAAAGAAAAAAACAGTATAAGCAGTCGTAGGCTAAAGTGTTCTAACATGCAACGCCTTTTCAGAAATAGAAAATGCATACGACTGAGTATTTCTATGAAGCTTTAAAACAATGCCAGCTCGGGACTCGACTCACTTGCGCCCAAATCGAATCTTTTTTAAAGGGTACAGACCGTTGACTCAAAACATAGTAAAATAAAGCTTATTTTGTAGTGAAAATGCAGCTTTCTCTTTCTGGAAATACAGGAATCGAATCTGAACTGATCTTCTCAATGATTCCTCTTTAAAAACTGTAAACTTTGATTGCAGTTATTAGTGCAAGTGGTTTTGTTCCTATGCAATAAGAGCAGAGTTGCATCCCGGTCTACTAGATCTTCATATTCAACTAAAAAAGAGATAAATGGCTAATCTTTCTCGTTCATATCCGCTGTCTTTGCATTTAATTGCCAGTAGAATGCAAAGGAAAACGCTAAATGAGGCGGACACGAGTTCCAATTGATCTAAGTGCGATTCTGCTCTTTCTATCTGGACACAAATTTTCAATAGATTCTGATGCGATCTCGAATTCGTGATTCGAATCTCATGGAATTTGCTGGCAATACAGATATCTCCCTAGGAAAATAGACTATAGCTACAGTTTGATTATAAGCGAAAGCTTGTATGGCAAAAGAATTTGTATGAGATAACCAACGAACATTTTCATTACAAAATTAAGGTGAGCAAGAAAGAAGAAGTGAGAACTGTATATATGTAATCGTGTTGATAGATTTGATGTGGCTGATAATGATTAAAGTATTTAACCGAAAACTTTTGTATTTATCGTCCCCGTTTTAATAAAAATGTTTATTTATCTCGTTCAAATTGTCATGGCATTCGTCAGTCTTAAACCAACAAATATACTTGGGATTGTTACTAAATGCACGAAGTGGTGGTTACACGACTTGAAATTCTGTATAAAGTAGAGAAAGCTGCACAAAAACACTCGACTGTTGAAATGAGTAGTCATTTCATAATGGAAGGCTTATTTTGCAGCATACAAACCTGAAACAATTTCTATGGGTAAAAGTATGAGAACTGTTGCCCAGTTAAACATATCATAAACTGTTGCACCTGCAAATGCTCGTCGAAATTCGTCTCGTCTTCTCTACGACGAAGAAAACGTTTAATATATCATGAAAATAATTTCATAGAAAACATAACACACTTTCTGTCGTAATAGTGTCCCAGCTTGATAGCTATAATGAAACGAACTATCGAACAGTCTCGATTCTGTTCATCAATATCATCAATAATAATTTGAAAGTGTTTTAATAGTATTTCTTGAGCCTCGAGTATTTCTACAGTTTAGTCAAAGGAGTATTTTAAATCTCTCAGTACGACCCTAAAAATGGCCGTATTTATGAAGTAAACACTTCTTTAGAAGAAAAACAGCATTGATAGAACACCAGGGCATGCACCAATACAATATATTGGGTCCGAATATTATTGTATACTCAATATATTGGGTTTTCACAATATAAATGGGTATTGGATCGCTTGAGTTCAGCTTACTTTTACAGTACAGACGCATGCTCTATATTCCGTTTTGAATCAAAATATAACCCAATTAGGCATGCACCGATTAATAATCGATGTTAGGACATTCAGCAAAGTCGTTCCGAATCGGTTGTAAAAAAGCACTTAGAACTGCTGAATGCCTCATTTTGTAAAAATATGTTTGCTCTACCAAAGTAAAGTGCAAGACAAATTTTAATGTTATATATAGCGAGAATATGATAAATCGAAAACGCACTAAAATCATAGAAAAATAATATAGTTCATTATTTTTTCGCAATTTTGCTCAGTTTTGGATGCTTATATTTCTGTCACAGATAACACTGAAAGATTCTTTTGCACTTCAGTTTGATAGAGCAAACATTTTCTACAGCTCTAAGTGCTTTTTTATAACTGATTCGGAACGGCTTTGCTGAATGTCCTAACACCGATTATTAATCAGTGCATGCCTAATCCCTATCGGGATACACTTTTATATCCCAATTGGGATATATTGTCGATTGGGATATGCTTCCTCACATTTTTATGACTGTAAATGATGTTAAGGTTAAAAAGGTGGAATCCAGTGTATGGTGGAACCCAATATTACCCAATATTATTGTACAATATCATTGGTCCTAATATATTGGGTATGCAATAATATTGGGACTCAATATTACTGAACATCTAATAATATTTTTCAACAATATATTCAATTATGATTGGTACCGATGCATGCCTAAGCACACCCTGTACTTAGAAACTTGATGTGTGTTATATAATAACATAAGCCTTATCTGTCGATATCGTTTCTTTCTACTCTATTACAGTTGAATAATAGATAATCGTTGTACACAACAGTCAGTAGTTGACAACATTTCAAAAGAATTTCTAGCTTCCAACGTCAAAGTATCGACTCTTTTCTACTTTATTGAATACTTTTATACGTTTGTGTGAGCATCCAACATTTGGCGCTTTACAGAGTGACATTTCTTTCGACCAACAAAGTCAAATAGATATTGCGCTTCTTATTTGGAAAAGGGCCGAAGGTAGTATAAGTGAGTGAAAAAGAGGACATTAAAAATTAAAAACCTATGAGACGAAACTGAGTTAAATGATAGATAATAGAGTTAAATTAAAATAAAATTAAAATACGGAACCAAAGTATCTAACTTTAACTCTATTATATATCTAGTCCGTATCGACCAATAGTTTTACTCTCAATTAAATGATAGAATTACAAGAAATTTTCCAGTATACAAGCCATTTGGATTATCTACAATCATACTGAAAACAATCGAATGAGCTCAGAGAAGATCAAAAATTGTGGCAGAATGTATGTGTATGGTTGGTCGCTCAAATGTTGATTTATCATATACTGTCTAACCACTTGTTCGAGGGGTATTTCGAGTGCTCGAAAATACGATTTCGAAAGGCCATGCCCAAGGACTCAACCCTCGAATGTTTATATCGAGGGTCCGAAGTCTCATTTTTCGAGGAGTCAAGCCCTCGGTCAGGGTCCATTTTCGACTACCCGGCGTACCTCTCGAACGAATATTTTCGTCTGCATGGGTGTGATAGATAACTTATCATTCAAACTACAAAAACATGTAAAAAGATATTGCACGAAATAATCATTATCCTACCAGACGTTCACATTTGGTTAATCAAATATTTTTTTAAAAAGTCGGGGCTTTTAATACTGAGATAAGAAGAACTAGCTAAAACTCTGAATTTGTGAAAATCGCGTACGATATGAAAACTGTTAAGACACTCACAAATACATTAAAAATAGTATTTGTGAATAGAGTCGAGAAACGTTCTGGTTGAGTTCAAGTTATCAAGTTTTTTAATTGAGTTATATTTTCAATGGAATCCGTTTTAAAAGTGTTGGATCAAAATTTATTCAGATATTATGTTGTACACAATAATTTCTGTTATTTGATTTACCGACTGTGTGAGTGTAACCAACGTGTTTGTAACAGATGTTCCTAAGACGAGAGGATATGTTTTGATTTGAAAATATGTTTAAAAAATGAATTACCAATATTTGCACCTGTAAATAAAAGAAAAATATATTACAGAATCTTAGAACATGTTCAGTCATATTTCCTACCCATTATAATTAGTATTGCTCGTTTTACTGATAAAACTAATTAATTGAAGAGACAATTTTAAGATGTATGGTCATTGTCTATATAAATAATAATATTTACTTGACGATGAGACCATACTAACCACAATTGATGTTGATGTTGACGAGCTTTGTACAATAACCGTTGCTAATAATCCCAGCATAAGTCCACCAATTGGATTTGTTAAAAGTTTACTTTCAGAAAATGTTTGACCAGTTAATTTTGCTATGGAAAACAATCAGATGTGTCTTTTCTTAATTTGTTTTGTTCAAAATATATATTTACCTCCAAGTAAACGAAAACCAGAGCTCATTAGATCTAATGAACATACAAATACATATAACAATAACAATAGTCCAATAAACTTAATAATCAATAAAAGAATAAACTTTAGCTTATCAAAATTGTTCATATCTAAACGTTTTTAGTAAATAGTTCTTGTTAGATATGCACCCGTTTCGGTTTTGAAACCGAAAAATCGACACCGAAAAAATGTCAAGCACTTTATTTTTTAAAAATTTTAATATGATATAATGAGTTAGCACATAACATCTATTTACTATGTCAGAGAAACATCTAATTTTATTTGAACCCGTTTCGGTGTACCGACAATCAAAAGACTCAAACTACTCAAACCACTAAAACCAGAAAAAAACATACAGAAGTCTACATCTTCTCGTAACGAACGAAGTTAACATCTGCCGCTTAGTGAATAGAGTATGCCGTATGTTTCTTCTTCTGATCATGTGTGTTCTGTCCTTCGATTTCTCGCGTTACATACGGGCATGCGTCAGTTATAAATAACTGAGAATAATCGACAGTTAACCGATGGGTTATTGAGTTACTGTAGAAACAGAACAATGAAAAATTTCTTCTTAAAATCTGTCGGTTATGATCGATTAACCCGGCAGTAACTGGTATAAGCGAAATAACCGATGCATGCCTAGTTACATAAATTCTGACTTTCCTCTTTTTATAAAATCGTTCCGGATTTTGTTGCAGGATAAAAAATCCTCCTTCATTTTTAGAAAAAGTAAAAAATCTATATGGTTTTTCAGCTAAATTAAAACATCAAATGGATTATATATTTTTTCAAAAATCGCGTTGATTTCTGTGTTTCTTAAAAAACAACATCGATTTTTCTTTTATCGTGTTTGGACCAATGAGAAAGTTGATCTTACAAGAGACATAAAGCACAGCATTACTGGTTAATATTCCTCAATCGTTTTTTATTTTTCTGATCTCTTTTTCTCTCCTGCACAGAAAGTGGAACTCCTTTTGCGTATAGATAGCCCGTAACTGTTCAGCTTTATTTTGTCTCCTGTAGATCGTTTTCAATTTTCTATTGTCTTAGCTAAGTAAAACAATAAACAGACAAAACGAACGATTTTATAAAATCTATAAAATATTTCCCATTTTCGATGTTTTGAAAAGTCTATATACTTCATCATCGAGGATTTTATAGACTAACGAGGAACACTATTCAACTGTAACATTCCTTTTTCAATCGTTCATACGTCGATCGATAGAGGATATCGGGATAGTAAAAAGCCTAGAAGTCAATGACTCTTGAAGATCCGGTTTTCTGAGAAACCAGTTTTTCAGATACTCTGAAAAATAATCAAAACCTTTTGTTAGTGAGACATGATTGTAGCCCGCAAAGTTCTGATTGAAATGAGACGTCTCCCAGCTCTACACGACCTTTGTTTGCAAAGTTATAGAATTTACAAGAAAGCCCTAAATGTTCATTCTCAGCTCAAAGCTACAGAAATCAGAAGAAATTAATTCAGGGCTTTTCTTGTAAATTCTATAACTTTGCAAAGAAAGGTCGTGTAGAACTGGGAAATGTCTCATTTTAATCAGAAATTTGCGGGCTACAATCATGTCTCACTAACAAAAGGTTTTGATTATTTTTCAGAGTATCTGAAAAACTGGTTTCTCAGAAAATCGGATCTTCAAGAGCAATTGGCACGAACCCTTTTAGGCTTTTTACTTTCCCGATATCCTCTATCGATCGACGTATGAACGATTGAAAAAGGAGTGTTACAGTAGAATAGTGTTCCTCGCAAGGGGGAGAAAACTGATTTGAGAATTTTGAAGATTTGAAAAGATTTGGAGAGATTTTAGAGTTCTAATCAGCTTTGATTTGAAGATTTGAATTGATTTGGATTGATTTGGATTAATTCAAATCAGTTTTCTTCCCCTTGGTTTCTCGTAAGTATCGTCGAAGATTTTTGACGTTCTATAAAACTGAATTGTCAAATCTATGCCGATTTTATAAAAACCTCAAAATCCAATTTTTGAGAATCTTAAACATCGTCTCGATTTTATATAAAATAAAACGTTCATTTTTATAACTTCCTATAAAATCAATAATGATTTTACAGAAAGTTATAAAATTCGATTTTAGACATATTATAAAATCCCCGAGAATTAAGTATAGGGACTTTTCAAAAATCGTCATTTATTTTATATAAGATCAACACCATTTACAGTGTGTACAGATGATTTATTTCTTTTCTTTTTTATACATACATATATCGCTTGATCGCCCCGTTCATTGATTAGTAGAACGGAGAATTTTCTCATTTTCATTTTTATCTCCTCTCTCATCGTTTGTTCTATTAGACTTAGACATTGTTATTATGTTTTGATAGTATCTCATTGTTTCTAATCTTTTCTGATTAGACCAGAGCTGGAACTGGTTGAAAAACGGTAAGCCGACTGGTAAACTGGCCGGTTGGAATTATAACTCAAACCGGAGAAAAACTGGCGAAGTTTTTTGAAAATCGATTTCTCGAAAGAATTTTCCCCAGAAACGAAATAGTTTGCGAGCTCATGTGAGAGCTCGCAAACATAATAACCAGCTCTTCATAATAACCAGTCTACAACATTTAACCTTAAGGGCCCCCCCTCAGAAATGGTGATTTTCGGTCAAAAAATCGGTTTTGAGATACGCACATGGAAAGATAGCCTGAAGTGTCTACTTCCAGAATCTGTATTGCTTTCGGT